TTTTCCCTGCTTTGCTTCTCTAAAGACTGCCAAAGTCTCAGGATGTGCTCACTGGATGTTGGGGAATGCCACCGGCTGGAGGGAATCATCATCGGCTGTGATTTGGTGTTGATCGGCCAAAAATGAATCCATTAGCCACAGATGGATTGCCGGTCGACACTCTGTGAAGTCGATCGGCAAAAAAGTTCCTGCAGAATCTGTTTGACAGCAGTAGAGGACAGAGCTTTGCATGGAAATGCAATTCAAGCAATGTATGCACCAACCATATCACTTATCATGTTTATGACTCAAAGGGACATGATCCTCGATTCTCGGGCCACCAATCACGTATTTCGATGCATGATGGCCCAAAGAATCGAGTGTGCAACTTCAATTTCAAATGTAATGCAATGAAAATAAACAAGCAAAGGGGCTCAACCTCTATCATGCTTAACTCAAGAGGTATAGCATGCATGTTAATGCAATGCAATCCTAATCATGTGAGCTAGCATGTAACATAGGCAATGCAATGTGTACATGCAAGTATGCAAGCAAACATACAAGAGGAGGATGCAAACAAGCAAAGAGACAGACTTAAACTAAATTAGGCCATTCTCAAACAAGCCTAAATCAACGGCCAAAGTGCTCAAACATGAGGGCCAACACTCATACACGCATGCGCATGTTAAGACCTAAACACTTAAGAATCAAAGGATATCCTTTAAGCACACTTCAAGGGGAATAATCACGGACATATGGCATGCATTGGAAGCTTTAAAATCATTCTAAATATGATACCAAATCAATTAAACATGACAAGCCAAGGCATGCAACCAAGGTCCCAAAACTCAAAGTAAGCTAAGGGGCATTAAACTACCCTTGACAAAACCAAACATGGCACGCATTAAACAACTAAAATCAGATTTCTAGCATGTTAAAACAAAGCCAGAAGACTACTTAGATGATATCTAAGAGGCCTAAACATGCAAGCGCACCAAAGAGGCTAAACATGAAACATGGAATGTCGACCTTTGAACACACTTAAGGGACATCAAATACAACCACACAAGCATGCTAAGTGGGCTGAAATAACATGGCAAGTGGTTCCAAACCACTGAAATGAGGCAAGGATGCATGCTACACACTCACACCCTTGAAGCCTACAAGCTAAAATGCAAAGAGGCTATGCAATGCATGCTAAAGTCGACCCAAACAACTAAGGACAGACCTTAAACATGGCGAAATAAACATGAAAGCTTCACAAAGCCAAGCCTAAAGCATGCTAGAACAATGGTTTACAACCTAAGGTATGTTAAGGCAACAAAATGGCATTACAAGGCATGTATGCTAAGCAAGCATGGTGTACCAAAAACAACTTAAAACAATGCTATATCATGGCATAATAAGCATAAAAAAAAAACAGCCAAGGCATGGTCAACATGAGCCTAAGCTAGGTGCTCTCTCAAGAGGCAAAAATGATCCTTTTCAAGGACAACAAGGAGAGGGGGTAGCCCTCTCCTTCTTGGGACCTCAAGGCACCATTCCCACCTCTGAAATCCCTCAAGATTTCAGTGGTGAGGAGGCCCAAACACCAAGGTCTCGGAGCTCACCCAAAATGGCACAAAATTGAGCCTTACAAGGCTTAAGAGGGGTCAAACAACCCCAAAGCTTGAAGCAACCTTAAACAACTATTTAGAGGGCCTAAAAACATAACTTTTTTATGGTATACACAAAGCTCAAAAATAGTTTCAAGATAGGCTAAAAAGCTAAGCAAGAAAGGGGGAAAAGGGGCAAGATTGTTACCCTTGAAGACCTCTTTCACAAATGAAGCTCCAACAGCTTCTTGAGCTTCAAACCAGCTCCCAAAACTTCAAAAACAACCCTCTAGAACCTCAGTTCCAAGAGAAAGGTGTAGTAGTAGGTGTTTGTGTGCAATACTAAGGCCTAAAACACACACAATACAAGAGAAGGAGAGATATAGATATAGGATAGATATAAAACCCTAAACCTAGAACCAGAGCTTCTCCAACAATGTTTTCTAACCCTAATGCCAAGAGAGGAGACCTCTTCTTATAGGCAACTCCCTATTGTAAGGCTTCCAAAACAAGCCATCCAAGAGGGAAATCCCTCCATACACGTGTATGGAAGGGAACGGAGTGGGTACCAACTATCACAGCCGGCACAAAATATCTACTAAAAGTAGATGAACAGTGATCGGCCATCCAAAATTGCCACTTTGACAAAATAAATGGCCGATCGGCAACAAAGAATGCCGACCGGCAATATATATTGCTGATGGCATAAAATCACTAGCCGGTGGCCTCGAGCCATGGCCGGTGATGTGTGGGGATGCCTCACAAGGCATTCCCTGCCCCTTCAAGGCAAAACACAAGTGTTTGGTGCAAAACCAAACACAAAACAGTCAAGTCGAGAGGTCCTGAGGCAAGGCACATAGCCGAGACCACCGGGAACTCAAGACGAACACGAACATGGATGATCATCGAGTGTTCGAGCGGTGACGTCCAAGTCTTGAGGACCGTCAAAAATTGGGTGTCTATAGTAGGCAACTTCATTCTAAAGTCCAGCCATAAACACTCCAATTCGATTGTGTCCATGTATTGGTTTTGATGGTCCTCGCCTTCTCTATATCCGAGCGTTTGGCTGTGATCATTACCATGAAGACAGATTACAATACGCTGCGATGCCGCCCAGACAAGGGGCAACTTTCCGTTGCCATACAATGCGCTGTGGTGCTTTTCAAACAAGGGACAACTTTTCGTTGCCATGTAGTGTCCTTCAAACAAGGGGCAATTTCCCTCCGGATCCGAGGTTATACATCTCAAGAGTAGGTTCTGTGCTCGTCGAGCAATGGCCGTTTACAAAAACAGTTTGTGGGAATTTTTACTGAGGTTGACTAATTTCTCGAAAATTATTTCGTTTTCCAAAACTGGACCATTTCTTGGACCTAAAAAAGGAAAATTTTCAGTGCTCGTAGCCTGACTTGCATGATTTTAAATCAGAAGATTGAACAAGCATGTTAATCAAACTATTATCTTGGTCAAAATTGTTTTAGTAGAAAACCAAAACAAAAATGGTCAAAATAATGAACTAGGGGCACAGTCAACTCAGGTGTTCTGTCTTTTCCCCATTGTCAACATACTTGCCAGAAAGGGCACTCTGCCTGCCAGAAAGGGCACTTTACCTGCCAGAAAAAGGGCACCACTGAAGCTAACTGCAAAAGGGCAGAAAGCTCTCACATCCTCCAAGCAACGAGGTATCAAGCCAAGTGTGAAGCACAAACTAGAATGGATCAAGATATTCCACTCCCTCATCTGGACAGATCTGATCACGTCCAAACTCCCCAGCAAAACATCGTCAACCGATGTTAGCTGCAGATTTGCTACACACCCAGTTGTAGCGCAGCCCCTCTGTGGGAGAAACTCACTGTTGTGAACAAGAATAAGAATCTGGTAGAATACCAGGGGCAAGAGCCCAGAATTTCCAGCTTATCCCTCAACCACCCAGGGGAGGGATAAAAAATGAGAGATTGAAGAATAGAGAGATGTGCGCTGAGAGAAAAAGTGAGAAAAGGGCTTTTTCAGAAAAACAGAGCCTGAGGGCCGAGTGATGTGAGGATCACAAATAAGGAAGGGTGGGAAACATACCCGGAGAAGCAGGCTCCTTGTGCATGTTTGTGTCTTGTGTTTTGTTGTGTTTTGTTTGTCTCGATTCTTGTTTTGAGTCGTTTCGAGTTCTTTTTGCTGTGGTCAGTCGTAGGCTCAATACCCAGTTAAGAACTCGCTTCTCAATCTAAAATTCCATAATAAATTGTTTTGTGCTCAGAGTGTTGTGCCATTCTCCGCATTTGTGTAAAACAGGATTCGGTTCTTTCATAAACTGCAAGGTTCAACCCAGGTCATGTGAGAACAGTAGAACCAGGACCTATCTGAAGCTATATAGGTTCCGGATTGCAATGCAGAAGAAAAGAGCGAAAATTGAAGCATCTGAGTGTGCTTCAGAAAATTCCGTGATTATATTCCGAATGTACCTTGTCAAGCCTTGTCAATGCTCCGAAGTATAAGTGTGCCTCTACCTCAAGCGCAAGATCAAGCCTGCTTCGAAGTTATGCACCCTTCTACCCGCATTTTTATGCACTCTTCCACTTGTATTGTCATGCACACCTTACTTGCATTTATTTGCATCGTGTTATCTTCTATCGTTTAACCTTTTACGCTGAGCAGCGTTTGGGATCGTTGCCCACCAAGACTTTCTCAGGTTACGCCTGGCACGCGCCTGATAGTTTTTTTTTGGACCTCCTTTCACGATTTCAGCGTGGTTTGAGTGTCTCTTTCCTCACACGATTTCAACGTGTTTGGAATTTATCCCAGGTTACGTTGTTGACGCGCTGGGTGAGTTATTGGACCTCCTCTCACGATTTCAGCATGGTTTAAGTGTCCATTTTCTCACACGATTTCAGCGTGTTTGGAATTTATCCAAGATTGCGTTGTAGACGCGCTGGGTGGGTTGTTGGACCTCCTCTCACGATTGCAGCGTGGTTTGAGTGTCCCGTTCCTTATGCAATTTCAGCGTGTTTGAAATTTATCCCAGGTTGCGTTGTAGACGCGCTAGGCGGGTTGTTGGACCTCCTCTCACGATTTTTGTAACGACCCAATCTTGGCAAGGCAAAACCCTGCCAAGAGGGTGCACCTCAAACGCTATAGCACCTTTACACCACAAATTCCTGTATAATTCTTACATCACATCACCACATCACCAAAAGTGCATAAGACCTTTCAATTGCCTAACATATATGAGATGATCTATTCAAAGACAAAATATTATCATGCTACAAGATAGTTCCCAAGCATTTCCTCCCAAAAAAAATATAATACATACTAATCACGAATCCATCAATACATCCAACTTCATAAGCAAATCTTACAATCAACCTCCTTCATAAAAAAAAAGGGTAAGCTTACATCCTAGAATGACCCTAAGCAAAACTTCAACCACAAGATGCCCACCTGTGATCCTTCAAAAAAAAAATTCTAGTCTTTCAAGTTGAGGCGAGCCACACAAAAGTCTATGAATCTGAAAAAAAATTATTTGAAAGAATGAGCTAAAGCCCAATGAGTATACCAATACCATGGAGTTATAAAACTTGCTCCTACCAATAGGGTTCAAAATAAAGATACTAAACATATGAGCTTAATTGGACTTCAATTTATACAAAATAAAAATAAAAATGATGCAATACAATTTTCATAAAACGTTATCAAGATTTTTCCAAGGAATCTCATAAGGCAGAAAAAAACATACATTTGGATAATGAAAGTAAACAAAAATATAACTTTTCAATACATTAAGATTTCCTGTCCATCATACAATCCACTACATAGCCTTAGGGTCGCGTTACCTCGCGACTTAGGTGGTGACGGTACCGTTACCCAGAACATAACCATAGGAGCATAGCTCATGTCATCGTAGCACTTCAATTCTTGTTTCAATGTTTCGGTCCCCAGGACCCCTTATACATACAACGACCCTTATGGTCCTTAAAACATTTCGGTCCCCAGGACCCCAAAGCATTTTGGCCCTTGTGGCCCCAAAGGCTATATTCGGTTATATGATCAATAAAATAAATACCCTCACATAACATTTCACTGTCATTCAATCATCATCATAAAATTTGAAAGACTCAACTTAAATAAATTCTCATAAAAACATTCATGCTTCATTATACAAATGAAATCGTATCTTTATTAAAACTCAACCCTTGGCCTCAATAAATTTATAGATTTTCTTTTTATACATATATCATGATGAAATGTATCATTCACTTCCTTTAATTCAAAAATTATTTTCAAACTTTGTAATAAAGATAGAGGTAAGGTAATTTCCATGGTAAGTATACTCACCTCCAAAAATAGCAAAAGTGTAGATTTGAAACTCTACAAATTAATTTCCAAGAGGTGGAGAGATGCCTTCCTCCAATCCTAACAATTAGTAAATAGGATCTCAAATTAGGAAAAGCTTTCAATGAAAATTACAACATCTACAAAAATGATCCTAAATAAAATTATGCTAAGGAATGGCAAGCTAAAGAACTCCTCCAACTTTAAATCACCCAAACAAATAACTTATCCAATCTCCATAACACCCATCCTTTGAACATCTTTGAGTTAGTAACTTTTTAAATATCCAATCAATTTATATGCACAATACCACCATCAATTTACTACAAAAGTCAAAAATCAACATTTTTGTATAAACTCAACAACTTAAGTAAAATCTCTTCAATCACTTATAAAATTCCTCCATAGAACATAGAGATACCCAATCCATCATTTATCAACTCAATTTCAACATATAAATTCCCTAACACCAAAATCCCCAATTTTTACATCACATTCAAACCCTAGATTAACCCAAAATCTAAATCTCCAAATCAACCATCAAATTGACCATTTTTTTTTTAAACATGTAAAACATTCATGGAAACTAATTGAGAGTATAAAATTCAACAAGCAAACCCCAAATCATAATAGATCTAAAACACAAAAATTTCATCATCTCTAACTCAAAATATGTAAAACCTTCAACTAAACTTTTAGAGAAAGATTCTTACCAAGTACAAGCCTCTAATCCATCAAGAAAATAAATCCCATGCTTTGATTCTTCAAAAGATTAAGAAAAATCTAGAGTTTGTGCTTCTATTGTGTTATTTTCGGATGGATTCAAGGAGTGCCGACCGGACCCATTTTCCGGCGAGATAAGGTGGCCGGAGGTGGTGGAGATGGTGGGTCAAGGTGGTGGTGTAAGGGTGGAGCAAAGGTGTGGTGTTTGGCCTCCAAGAAAGTAAAGGAAAATGAGAGAGAAAGTAGAGAGAAGTTAGAGAATGAAGAATGAAGAAAAAAAAATCTGCACTTCTAATTTTTTTTTTTGTGTTGAAATGGGGTGTTTGGTTACACCTACCATCAAGTTTGGAGTTGGGTTTAGATATCCTAAATGAAGTTTAACATAGGAGTGTGTTTGGCTCTAGATGAAAAGTTGGGAATATTATAATTTTAGCGTGGTTTGAGTGTCCCGTTCCTTACGTGATTTCAGCGTGTTTGGACTTTATCCCAGGTTCCATTGTAGACGCGATGGACAGATTGTTGGACCTCCTCTCATGATATTAGCGTGGTTTGAGTGTCCCGTTCCTTACGCAATTTCAGCGTGTTTGGAATTTATCCCAGGTTGCGTTGTAGACGTACTGGTCGGGTTGTTGGACCTCCTCTCACGATTTCAGCGTGTTTGGAATTCATCTCAGGTTGCGTTGTGCGCATCTGGGCGGTTGTTTTCGGGCCTCTTCTCACGATTTCAGCGTGGTTAGAGTGTTCTTTTCCTCACACAATTTCAGCTTGTTTAGAATTTGTTTACCTCTTCTCGCGATTTCAGCGTGATTGGAGCCTCCTTTTCCTCACACGATTTCAGCGTGTTTGGAATATATCTTAGGTTGCATGGAACGCGCTCCTAATTGATTTTCTTTGTTCTTCCTCCACTCATGAGTCCAGCGTGGTTGGAGTATGTCACCCTTTGCATCTATTGTACTCTCTGTTGCCTCGCATCTGTTATCTATTGCATCACGTCTGTTACATCCATTGCATCATATCTATTTTATCATCCGGTCTAGGAGACCTTAAATCCTCTAAAGATGAAATTCCTTTGGTGTTTGTCGTGCCCAAACGACTCCCTGTGGTCTGGTATAGCCACCTGCCTGTGTTTGCGGTGAGTTCCTAGGGGACCATCTAAGATGGTGGAAACTAGAGTTCGAGTGGCTTACACCTAGAACACAAAGATTCGGGATTTTCGAGACTAAAGTTTGGTTTAAATACCCAGGGGTATATCCTCGGCTTGAAATCCGTATGGCAGCCCCATAGATTAAGATAGCATCTATATGCGCATCAATTCTTGATACTGATCCAACCTAGTCTGTCACCCTGTTGGAGAATAGGGAAAGTTGTGACCATAGTCAGGGAGAAAAGTAGTACCTGCGGTTCAACCAAGAAGAAGTGAAAGATCCCCAGCAGCATGAGGTGAGTCATCACCAATTGCCCCCGCAAGGTACTTTCACTTCCCAGCTACATTGCATTTTGTTGTCTATTACATTGCATATAGAATCTATCGCATGCATTTACTGCATATTCCATTGCATTATCCATCTATGGTTTGTACCTTTCCATGTTGAGCTTGGTCTGGTATGTGCCCATACTTTTCACGTTGACGCACGATTATGATATTATGTGTACACACCAAGTGTTGAGGGTGACAGCACCGTTTCCGTGTTAAACGTGGTCTATATGTGTCCATGCCTTTCCTAGGCAAGATAAGGTTTGGCCGTGGGCCTTATCCATTCTATCCATTGCATTTAGCTATTACATTGCATATTGTATATATTGCATTGTAGCTTGCGTGCATTCATTGCATCACCTTCATCTATGGCTTGCGCCTTCCCACGTTGAGCTTGATTTGGTATGTGCCCATACTTCTCGTGTTGAAGCACGGTTATGATATTATGGGTATGCACCTAGTGTTGAGGGTGACGGTACCGTTCCTGTGTTAAACGTGGTTTGTTTGTGTCCATGCCTTTCCTAGGCAAGATATGTTTTGGTCGCGCACCATATCCATTTCATTCATTACATTGTAGTGTAATGTCTTACATCCAGCATTTAGGATCACGATCTCTCATGAGCAGAGCATTCCCCACTTATATCATCCCACCCAATTACTTGTATCTTGTGTTCCGTCTACACACTCATAGTTCTGCATGTGCATGCACCTATTCCACTGCTGGTATTGTGGTTTGAGGGTGTCGGCACCTTTTCTATGGTAGACGGACTTTGCATCTCCATCATCTTTCTGATATTTGTATGGTTTTGAACTGCTTATGGTTTGATCATGTTTCAATTGCATTGTCTATATATAGTTTTGTATATATTGCATTATCATTTTGCATCCATTCCGCATTGTTATGCGTTGTCACACATAGGTTGCATTGTCATGCACTCATTCACTTGCGTTGTTACGCAGCTTAGATTGCATTGTTATGCATGTTGCTAACGATGTCGTACCTGTTAAGTTTTCTTTCTCTTTCAGGCACGATATTGTATATATGGTTCATTTGAAGCTGGTGCAACCAGACGAGCCGCACAGGTATTGTATTCTCCGTGTGAGACGTATCGAGAATTGAATAATTCTCTTACATCCTTTCGACATTGTAATGTAGCTTGGTTCTTGCTTAAAACTGTTGCATGTTATGCTTCGTTACAGCTTTCTTTGCATGATCATGAGTTATGTTTGGCTTCTTGCATTGTCAGTTGCATTTTCCCCCGCCTTCGGGCGTATATCTTTATTGTCTTGCATGTTTGTCTAAGTCTTCGGCCTTGTCAAAAATGGGTCGTCTCTGGGCTTTGACACTCACTCCCGTCATTGTTATGACTTTTGAGTTCTGTCAAAGAGGGGCAACTGTAGACATCCCATTTTTGATCGTCCTCAAGACTTGGATGTCACCGTTTGAACACTCGATGATCATCCATGTTTGTGTTCGTCTTGAGTTCTCAGAGGTTTCGGCTACGCGCCTTGCCTCAAGACCTCCCGACTTGTTTGTTTTGTGTTTGGTTTTGTATCAAACACTTGTTGTTTTGCTTCTGAGGGTGGGAAATAGCTTGTAGGCCATCCCCACACCTCACCGGGCATGGCTGGAGGCCACCGGCCCTGTTTTCTTTCTACCGGCCAAAGGTGTTAGCCAGTCGGCATTGTGTTTGGTCGGCCGGCCACTGATTTTTGTCAATCGGTCACTTTTCCTGGCCGAGACCTTTTCTTAAGGGGATTTGAACCTTTTGAACCCTTGGTTTTAGCTTCTTTAGGAAGCTTGAACCTTTCGAACCCTTGGTTTTAGCTTCTTGAGGAAGCTAGAACCTTTTGAACCTTTGTTCTAGCTTCTCCAAGAAGCTTGAACCCTTTGCTCCAAGCTTCTAAGAGAAGCTTGACCCCTTTTTAGCTTCTTGAAGAAGCATGGCCCCTTTGCTCCAAGCTTCAAAGAGAAGCTTGGACCTTTCTTAGCTTCTTGCGGAAGCTTGACCCCTTTGCTCTAGCTTCCTCAAGAAGCTTGACCCTTTTTGCTTTAGCTTCTAAGAGAAGCTTGGCCCCTTTGCTTTCTTCCTCTATAAAAGAAGAGCTCCTCTTCCATTGCAAGGGTTGAAAAAAAAAATGGTCTAAGGCACAAGAGTTGTATCTCTCTCTATCTCTATATTTTGAGCTCCAAAAGTGTTGGTTCTTGACCCCTTTGCACCACACCTCCACCACTCATCTAAGGTTCTTGGAGGCCATTTTTAGAGGTTGAAGGTCTGAGTTTTTGGTCTCAAAGCTGCTGGTTTTGCTGGAACTACAAGGGTAACACACTTTACCCTCTTTTGGTCTTTATTTTGCTTCATCCTTTAGCCATACTTAGAAGCATTTTTGAGCTTTGTCATAAACTGAAAAAATTCTTATTTTGAGCTCCTTTTGAAGTTTGTTTCAGATCACATTTGTGTTTGGGGTTGTTTACCCCCTCTTAGGCCATGTTTGGCCTCATTTTTGTGCCTTTTTTGTGAGCTTCGGGACCACCTTGTATTGGCCCTCTCACCACTGAAATCCCTCTGGATTTCAGTGGTGGGGATAGTGTTTTGAGGTCCTAAGAAGGAGAGGGTCATCCCCTCTCCTTATTGTCTTGTTTACTTGCATTTTTGGCTTTACAAAGGAGCCCATATTTGCACACTTCTTGAGCTTGGTTCAGGCCTTTTTAGTGAGTTTTAGCATCTGCTTGAACCCTTTCTGGAGCTGTTTTTGTCATTTAAGGCTTGCCTCTTGCATGTGTAGAGCAACCCCCTTCATAGCTTTTCAAACTAGCACCTCATTCTTGCCTGTATTGGATACATTTTAGTGGGTATTTGGTCATATTTTGGCATGTCATGAATCTATTTTGGGCTGGTTTAGTGACCCCTTGAATGCTTCATACACTTGTAGTGTAAATCCCTTAAACTAGCTTCACATGCTTCATGCTTTGTCATGTCTTGTTAGCTTGTTTGGTTTAGATTTCAACATGTTTTTGGTAATGTTTTTCCATATCATGACCCTATCCATAGTTGGTTTGGTCATCCTTTGCATGCTCCATATAGGTGTAGAACAAATCTTGTTTAGTAGCCTCTTGTGCATGATGTTTTGACTCATTATCGTAGCATATTTTGGCTTTACTCTAACATGATTTTATGCTTATTTTGGGCTATCCTAGGAATGTTTTAGGTTGCCATGGCCATATCACTCATGCTTTGTATAGCTATAGTGTAAATGCTTAGGCTAGTCTTGGCTTTTGAGGCCCCTACCATACATATCATGAGTGTTTGCATGCTTCGGAGTCATTTTGGAATCATTTAGTATGTCATTTCAGAGCTGGAATGTATGCCATTATATGCCATGTTTCATTCTTGCATTGCTCTTGGAAAGTTGCATTTTGTGCCCTAGGCTTGGAGCCCTTGCATTGCGCATGTTTGCATGAATCTTGGGCCTTGTTCTCATCTCATATGGCCACTGTTTTGCACATATTAGAGAGTTGTCCATCTTGGTGTAATTCCATCCTTTGCATGTTCTTGCATGGTCCCCTAGCATGTTGTTACATACTTGGCTTATTAATATGTTGTTGCATGTTTAAGTGATATCGCATTTGGCATGCATCTTTGATTAAGTTGCTTAACATGTTGTTACATGTCTTGCATACTTGCATGTTTAAGTTGCACTTTGCATGCTTGTTAGCTTGCATACATGTTACATGCTTACATGTTTGCATACTTGTTCACATGCTCATATTGCATGCTTAGTTTGCATGCTTAGGTTGCATATATTGCATGCATCCCATCCCTCTTGATCAATCATGATAGAGATTGGGGGCCTTGTGTGTTTGTGTGCATTACATTTGACATTGAAATGCACACTTGGCCTCTTGGGCCATCATGTATCGAAATGCGTGATTGGTGGCCCGAGGGTCGAGGACCATCCTTCCTTGAGTTCATAACATGATAGGGAGGCTGGTTGTGCAAATATTGCATCGTAAATGCTTTGCCATGCTCTGTTTGTTCTCTGCTGCTGTCAAACAGGATTCTGCAGGAATGGATAGCTGACCAACCACATTGAGTGCCGGCCGACTACATATTTTGGGCCGGGAGCCATACTTTTGGTCGATGACCAGTTTCCCATGGCCGGTGATGTTTCCTCTTGGTCGGTGACATCCCACAGTGTTCAGGGAGTATTCCAGAACCAACTTTGGGACTTTTGCAATTTTCAGAGGCATAAAGCAGTGTAAACAGAGGCAACATGAGCATGGCGTTGGATTTCCAAGGGAAGCCGAGCATGTGTGCATTTGACCCTCTTCCCGACGCTGTTTTATTGCTTTCATAACTTAATTAATTTTTTTTAATTAGTTAAGTGGTTATGTAATATTTAATTAGCTTGTTAATTAATTAATTTGTATTATTCTTTTGGTCCCTCCGAGAGAGGGCGAATTATGTAATAAGCCTGTGTGTGTGTGATGCATGTCTTCCAACCTCCACTTCTTTCTCCCTTTTCCTTACCTGCTTTGATGGTTAGTACTAGGGCATATTTCAATTAGCATCCTTATGCTCGCATGTTTGCATCATTCATCTGTATTGCATGCACCGGGCTCGGCGCATCAT